CATGAGGTGAGGGGGTTGGGTGCTCAGATTAAAAGTAGATACACACTCCATACACAGAGTGTGGGCTGTCTCTGAAGAGGGAGAGAGAGGCACCGTATTGCTGGTTTTTATGGGCTTGGTGGCTTCATATGCTAATAAATGGAAGGGTCAGTCTAAGGAGAAGGGGCTGGGATTCCCAGGAAGTTGACCATTTCCCACTCTTTGACCTTTTGTGGCTAGCCTTGGGATTGCCATATTGCCTGTGGGCGTGTTATTCACCCTGTTAATATATTACAGTGGGCGTATAATTAAGCTCAAGATCTACTGGAAGTTAAATCTCTCATCCTGAGCCTCAAGGCCTAGTGGGGGTTGAATCCTTCACCATTTTGATGTTAATTGCTGTGGCATTCCTTGAATGGCTGTGCCCTGCCCCCTTCCTGTCTCAGAATTGCTGATCAAAGAGTATATGCCTTTAAAATTTGGATAGATAGCATTGAACATTTCCTTAGATACTGTCAGGTAGCCCTCTGTCCCATGTCCCCAGGGCATTATCAATACTGGATATTATCACTCATTTACATTTTACCAAATGAAAGAACACAATATCTATTTTAAACAGCATTTGTATTGTGGTTATGATCCCTTTGTCTGTTAGATGGTGCACGTGGCTTCTTCTAGTCTGACTTCTTAATTAAATAAGCACTTATTACCAGACAGTGGAATCTTCTTTACATGGCTGTCTCCAGCTCTAGACTGAAAGTTTCTTTGTGTCCTGTTTGTGGTCTCAGTATCTAGCACCATGTCTGGTGTAGCTTTGTTGTTATTGAACCTAGTTTCCTGTGCCTGATGCACGGTGAGGCCAAACCAACCAAAATATCAGTTTGGAGCGGGGAGAAAGGTTTATTGCAAGGGCCGTGTGAGAACTGTCGCTCACTCTCAAAAGACCCGAACTCCCTGATAGGTTTCAGGGAAGAGTTTCTATGGCAAAATCAGGGGTGGGGGGGTGGGGTCTGCAGGGTGTGTGACTTTTCTCTGATTGGTTGGTGGGGTAACAGAGTGGTGTTTCAGGAATCTCAACCATCAGCCGTCTGGTTCCAACCAGTCTGGGGTCCACAGCTTGTGCTCAGCCTGGAGTGACCCTCCTCTATCTGGGTGGGGGCCTTGGTTCCTGTAGAGGAATTCAGAGTTGTGTATCAAGTGGTTATGCACACCAGCCCACCCCAGGAGGAGCCGGACCTTGCCCCATCTCTGCACTACTGTTTCTTTCTGCATTCCTTCACTCCCTTGACTAGTAACTGTTTGAATCTGCCCTTTGGAACTCAGGGAAGGTCTAGGACGCAAAAGCTTTTTTTCCTACATACAAGAAACTGGGGACACAGAAAGGCTTTTGTGCCCGAGAGGGCTCCGCAGGGTCCTGCTCTGGTTTCCATCCCCCCTTTTCTTTGATACTTCTCAGTCTTGAGGGGAACAGAAGTTGGACAAGAAAATAATGTTTTAGCTAGAGAGGTTAATCAAACTCAGCAGAGGAACTTGATTTTATGGGGACTAGGTTTCAGACTAAATAGTCTACATACAGATGGTTTGCAATGAATAAAAGACTTGACTCTTCAAAGAACTTAAAGTCTGTTATCACATAAAGTAGTCAAGACTTTAACAAAAAGGAAGAAAAATAGCAGATTATCTAAATTGCATATTCAGTTTTGTGGCGTAGGAAACCTTACCTACTGGGTAGCTTCCCTCAATCAGTTTTCATGAAACATCCTGCTGCTCATTTTCTTTATTCATTGTACTGAGAGATGAGTTATTTTCTGTTAGCTTAAAAGTGAAATCAGCCATTATCAGCCACAATGGGAATATATCATTCTGTCTTCTTTTGAGACAATGTGCTGAGTTTAGTTCAAGTAGTAATGTATTTTATCTCTTACCCAATTTCAGTTTTACCTTGAATCCTAATTTTTTTTTTCTTGCCATTTCAGGTAAGACCATGAATTATGGCATTTCTTAAATGAAGCATTCAGGAATGAAGTGACAGTTGTAACATAGAAAATAAATGATTTTTAAGTTATGTCTATTAATTTGACTATAGATATATATTATATTTACCTCCTTAGTAATGTGAGAAGTCTTTGTGGGAAGCAGAGAAGCAAGCCGCTGCATTTCTTGTGCTCACCTAAATATCACTGGAGGATAAGCCACATCAGTCTGCAAGGAGGTTCTCATACAAGCAAAATAAGATGTAAATGGACCAAAAGTGAGGCACATCCTTGCAGTAAGCACTGTTGCTATCCTAGCAACCATGGTTTGCATATTGGAATTTTGAGACTTAGCACTTCCGCTCCCAAGGGCCTTACAAAAGTGAGCCTTCGTATGTCCCGTATTAAAAGTACTTTGAACTCCGTTTCAAAGGCTGTTTTCGGCAATCAGAATGAAATGATCTCTCGTTTGGCTCAATTTAAGCCAAGTTCTCGAATATTAAGAAAAGTATCAGATAGTGGCTGGTTCAAACAGAAGACCATTAAACAAACCATCAAATTTCTGAAAAAATACAGCGACCAATCAGCAGAAAAGAGTTCTTTCCCAGAAAAGCAGAGTCACATTCTAGATAAAGAAGATACAGGTAAACAAAGCCTTTTCCATTACACAAGTAATATCACCACAAAATTTGGAGAGTCATTCTACTTTTTGTCACATCATATTAATTCCTACTTCAAGCGGGAGGAAGAAATGTCTCAAGAAAAGGAAAAGAAACATTTCCAGGACAAATCAGAACTTGAACTTAAAAAGGTCGAAGAAGAGAAATCCAGTTCCCCAGATGCCAGCGTCCTGACTGAAAAGAAGCTGGGCTCAGAAGCCGCTTCGAGTACAGAGGATGAGCCTGCAGGTCCCAGTGGAACACCTGAGGTTCTTCCTGTCTCCACAAAACAAAGTATTGCTAACTTTCTTTCCCGTCCCACCGAAGGAGTACAAGCTTTAGTAGGTGGTTATATCGGTGGACTTGTCCCCAAATTAAAGTATGATTCAAAGAGCCAGTCGGAAGAGCAGGAGGAGGCGGTCAAAGCTGAGCAGGCCGTCAGCAAAGACAAACATGCCGAGGAGAAAAGGCGGCTCTCTCTTCAGCGAGAAAAGGCAAGCTGTTACTCAGTTTGGTTTTAAATTTCATCTCCCAGTGGGACCTAAGAAACTCTAATCATTTGTTGGTATTACTAGAACAGCTTCATATTATAATCATATGTATTTTAATATGTCTTTCTAGATCATTGCCAGAGTGAGCATTGATAACAGAACCCGGGCGTTAGTTCAGGCGTTGAGAAGGACAACTGACCCAAGGCTCTGCATTAATAGGGTTGAGGAACTGACTTTCCATCTTCTAGAATTTCCTGAAGGCAAAGGAGTGGCTGTCAAGGTAATTCTAATTACCTTTAATCTGTTTTTTTTTTCTTGGAATAGAAATATTAATAAACCTTCAGAAATGGAGAAGGCAGTGCCTGTCATTTTTTTATTTAAATATTTTTGTGTTTTTGTCATACATGTGATGTGTTGCATATTCAGTAATTGCCTCATGTATTCTATGATATGCATTATGCTAAGAAGCTCCCTTTTATTCTGTGATATAAATTATGCTTCTAGTACTAATATCTATACTTTGAGTTTGAAATAGAAGATAACTCTCAGTATATTAGTTGAATTGCCTAAGGGCTGCCATGTTTTTCTTAAATGCAGTGTACGTTTTATACTATGTAAGTACTCTTTTTAAGACAGGAGTCATAATTCATAAGACCACTGCTAATTTTTATTTCATGATCTTTTTGTATTTGAAAGTCTAAGAATTTTAATGATCTTATTGATCATTGAATTGGTGATCCTATTAATAAAACAATTAGCTTTTCCTTGTCTCAGTTTTTTCAAATATAAAACCATGAAGATAATGTAAGCCCCTTTAAATAGACTGTTTTCAGAGAAATCCTATAAAATGTGAATGATGCAGTTAAGTCTCTTTGCATCTTAGATTATTTGCAATATATAGTGAACAATTTGGAAATACCATATAATGAATAGATAATGTTAACATTTCATTAGAGATCTGTTAGTATTTATTTTTAACTTGCCATCCAGAAAATTATAAGTGAAATTTGTTCACATTTATTCAACTTTTTGATAACCATCTTACTGAAAAATTATGTTTTTGAATAATGTACCTTTCTGTAGTTTTATATTGTATAATACATACATTATAATAGCTAAACTTTAGAATTTCATGGACATGAAATTTGAGGTTATCTTTTATAAATATGTAATCTTACCTAAAAGATAAATTTTCCAAATATCGATATGCTTTTAAGTCATTTAACATTGCAGTGATATACTGGAAGCAGAGCTCTAAGATGGAATTGCATACTTTAAGGAACTTTAAAAAAAACTTTTTATTGAAGTATATATAATACACATGCAGTTGTAAGTATACAGTTCATTGAGTTTTCATATACGCCCATATAACTAGCACCCAGATGTCGAACAGAATTTATCAGCACTTCAGAAGCCTCACTTGGGCCCCCTTTCAGTCACAGTCTCCCCAGAAGTAATCAGATTAGTTTGCCTGTTTCTGTACATTATATAAACTATTACCTTCTTTCACTCAACATGCTGGTAGGAATCTTTCACATTGTTGTGGGTAGTTGTAGGTCATTCATTCTCGTTGCTTTTATACTCCATGGTGTGAGTGTATCACAGCTCATTTGTTCACTGTGCTGGTGATGGATTTCTTGCTGGTTTTCAGTTTTAGTCTATCATGACTAGTTTGCTGATAGAAACTTGGGGAACTCTTACTGTTTTCCATAACTGACCCCAAATCTCAGGACCCTTCCGTCCCGGGGAGACACATGATGTGTGTTTTCTTGTAGAGCGGCTCGCCTGGATTTACCGGGCTTCATCCTCACTGATACACTTCATGTACTCCTCTTTCCTTTTCATTTCCTGAACACCGGAATTTAAAGACTTGACTGAGTTAAGCATTTTCTTGTTAGAGCACATTGTAGATGATGTGATGTCCCTCATACTGCGTCATGCCAGAACACGCACAACTGGGTGAGTAACCATTAGTAATGCTAAGAGTGACCCCTGGACTAGGGGGATTACAGTCTGATCTTTTCATTGGATGGTTAGGCTAGAACCATTATCCCATCAGTCACTAACCTAATTGTTCCCAGAACTAGTCATTTTATTAAGGTTGCAGAATGATAGATTTCTAATTCTGTCATCCTTCTGCATTACAATTGATACTCTCCTGTAAAAGTAGAGCTTTTCTTCACTAGCTGAAGCTGTTTGGATTCTCTCAAAGACCAATGTTGCTGGAAAAGCAAAAAATGCTTAATTTATTTCTACTTAGTCACCAGCTTTCAAAGTAAAGAGTTTTAAAAGCTGCCTCAATGGTGAGATGAACTTTTGGCATTTTTTTCTTTTTGGTTGTCATTATGAAGTCATAGTTTTTCTTAAACTTTTTAACTTAAAAAAATATGTATACAGAAAAGAATATAGCTCCATGGATTTTCAAGAATTGAACATATAAAAACCACCCAATTAAGAAACAGAATTTTACCAGCACTCCAAAAGCCCCTTTGTGCCCCTTTCCAATCACTGTCTTTAAAAAGATTGACCAATTTTTTTGATTTCCAGCAGTGTAGATTAGTTGTACCTCTTTCTGCATGTTATATAAATGGAATGAATGTGGTGCATTCTTCCATTGATTTGGGCTTTCTTGATTTTCCCTCAATGTCTTAGTCCATTTGGGCCACTATAATGAAATACCATCAACTGCGTAGCTTATAAACAACAGAAATTGATTTCTCAGAGTTCTAGAAGCTGCAAGTCAAGGTCAGGGCACCAACATGAGTGCTTTGTGGTGAGGGCCCTCTTCTTGGCTCACAGCTGGCACCTTCTCACTTAGTGGCCTGGGCAAGGGCTCTCTCTGGGGCCTCTTTTATAAGGGCACTAATCCCCGTTCCTGAAGACTCCACCCTCATGACCTAAGCACCTCCCTAAGGCTTCACCTCCTAATACTATCATTTGGGGAGGGTTAGGATTTCGACATAAGGAATTTTGAGAGGACACAAATATTCAGACCACAGCACTTGATATTTAAAAACCTTTCAATATAGATATCTTGCACATCTTTCATTAGGTTTTTTAAAAATTTAATTCCTGGGCATATGATGTTTGGGGATGGTAATTTTATTTTTGTTATTTTTATTTTAATATATTTTACTAATATCAGGATCACTTCTTGATCTTTTATTTGGTACTAGTTTCACAAACCTTATAATTTTTCTGGATGCTGGACATTGTGAATTTTTAAAAATGGCATAGGATCTAGACCATATCAGATAATTTCTTTTTCCAGAGATAGTCTATTTGTTCCTCTGCTTGACATACAGAGTGGGACACTGATAATCTTAATTCAGTTAGGATCAGAGCTGGGCAGTGCCTGGCTTACAGTTTGTTGACATTTCTAGTTTGCCCTGTTTTTAGGGCACATTGAGAGCCTGCTGTGTTCACTACCACCACCACCTCCTTGAGCCCTAAAATCTCAAGAATACAGAAAATTCCATCCTCATTTTCAGAGATTTTCAGCCTAGCTTTTTAACTTCCCACACTACATAATTAAAGAATCCAGCAAATGTCCTGAGGTGAAACCGGTCATGTGATTGAGGCCCCTCGAGTCCTCAGTTTAACTTGGGGTGCTGACCAGATGAGATGCTTCCATATATAGAAGCTAGAATCTTCGATAAACTCAACATAGAATCCTTAAGGATTTAAGCTCTTGCCTCTGATCAGCAGTAGGAAGTTAAACTCTTAGAATCTTGAAGTCCTAGTTCTGTTTAAACTAATTATTTAATTGCTCCAATTTCTGCCTTCTACCTTAGTTTTATTTTTTAATTAACATTTGTTGATAGTTCACTATGAGCAAACTTTGTATGCCTTGTCTTTTGTGTGCAGTGTACACAGGATGGTTTATTTTGTCTTTTAACAACAAATTTAGTTTCCTGTAATTACTATGAGGCAGTTTGATTTGCTTAACTTTAGGATTTGGACATAATATTGTATAAAATTTACCATGTTAACCTTTTGTTATAACAATTAATACTTCGTAAATTTGTGTTAAGCCAGTTGTATTTTCTCTAATTGTTAAGCATTGCACCTTTTAAAGAAAATACTGGGCTAGAGGTTAATTTTTGACTTAGATGTTAGGACAAATATATTCTAGGTATTAATTGACATTAACATGTCAAAAACTAATCTATCATTTAAAATTACTGAGAGTAATAAACAGTGGCACCCTGTTTATCTGTGATGATCTACATGTGTTGGTTAAAAATAATCATACGTTGTCACTCTTGATTTGACAAAAGCAACAAAATATCTTTTCTCTCAATATAGGAGAAAATTATTCCATATTTACTACGATTGAGACAAATTAAGGATGAAACTCTTCAGGCTGCAGTTAGAGAAATTTTGGCCTTAATTGGCTACGTGGATCCAGTGAAAGGAAGAGGAATCCGGATTCTCACGATTGACGGTGGAGGAACAAGGTAAGGCTAGAAAAATGATTTTTTTAAAACTATAGACCCAAAATACTAAAAATAGAACTGCCATATTATCCGACAATTTCACTGCTGGGTATTTATCTGAAGGAAATGAAAACACTAATATGAAAAGATATATGCACCCCTATGTTTATTGTAGCATTATTTACAATAGCCAAGGTATAGAAACAACCTGTGTCCATCGATGTTTGAATGGCTGAAGAATACGTGAGGGTTGTACACACACACAGACATACACACACGTACACACACACACATACATGCATATACACACACACACATACATATATAGGTACGTATTACACAGTGGAGTACTACTGAACCATAAAAAAGAATGAAATCTTGCCATTTGTGACAGCGTGGGTAGAACTTGAAGTTATTATGCTAAGTGAAGTAAGTCAGACAGGGAAAGACAAATACCATATGATTTCACTTCCATGTGGAATCTAAGAAAGTAAATCAAGACAAAACTCAGATACAGAGAACAGATGGGTGGTTGCCAGGTGGAAGGGTCCTGGAGGGTATGGGAAATGGGTGAAGGGGATCAAAAGGTACAAACTTGCACCTATAAAATAAGTCATGAGAATGTAATGTATAGCATGGGGAATATAGTCAATAATTATAAGTATAAAAAAATTTAAAAGCAAAGTAAATCTTAAAAGTTCTCATCAGAAGGAAAAAAAATTTTATAACTTTGGTGGCAGATGGTAAATAGACTTATTGGGGTGACCATTTTACAGTGCAAATGAATGTCAAATCATTATGTTGTATACATGAAACTAATATAATGTTGTAAAGTTATACTTTAATTGGGGAAAAAAAAACAACCTGTAGATCCAATTTAGGCTTAGGAATTTTTTTAACTGATTCAATGTTACTGTATATCATTATAAATCAAAATTTTAAAATAAAACATGAAATAGTTCTTAATTTACTAATTTATCAGTCTAAAAACTTCTTCATTGAATTTCTTTTTATTTTAATGTGACCTAGTATTAATAGTTTCATTTGCTCTTTTCAGGCCTTTTTGGTAGTTTAGGACAGTTTATCAACCATGATTCTCTTAAAATCTTGGCAGTGGTCTGTAACATTAGCTTTCTTTTATTATACTGACCTTACCCATGTGTATCAGTCAACTAGGCACTTAGGTAAAGTGATTATAGGAAAAGGAGCCTGTATCAGTAACTTCCTTCCTGACTCCTGACATCTTCACTTGCAGATGCCGGTTCTGGTGCCACACAAGGAATGTTGAATGCATTCTTAGCTCAGAACAAGCTCATTTCACCATCAGGCTGCATTCTTGCTGGCAGTCCCCTGCTCCCTATTCTGTCTTAGTTTCATGGTCCTTCCTTCTTGTTGGCGAGATACTCTGGCTTGACTTGATGAACCTTTCCCTCCGAATTTTCTAGCTTGTGTTCCAGTTCCCCCACCATTTCTACTCTTACCTTAAGAGGCAACAACTAGAAAAATCAAAGTATATTATTGAGTAGTAATGGGTGCTATGAAAAAATAAAGGGATAGAGAGTAAACAGTGCTATTTTAAGGAGTGATCATGACTGTGACTTTTTGAAAAGATAAATTTTGAATAGAGATCTGAAAGAAGACCATTAAGGAACATTCAGATGTCTGTTTAGAGAAAGGGAGGTATATAGTGAGATGTTTTTGACCGATAAGTGTTTGATTTCATAGAACAGGAGTTTTATTAGTCATACAGGGAGGAAATTAGAGTGAAGATATTTGAGAAAATCTAGAGATTGGTTAGGATGAAGGTGGATTTAGGTCAGTGGTTCTCCCCTGGAGGTGAATTTGCTCCCTAGACGGTATTAACTGGCAAGTGTCTGGAGACATTTTTAGTTGCTGGGGACTGACTGCTTCTTGCATTTTGTGAGAAGAGGACGGTTGGTGCTAAATAACCTACAGTGCTTAGGAGAGCCCCTACAGCGAAGGATTATCTGGCCCAAAATGTCAGTAGTGTTGCTGTTGAGAAGCCTCGGTTTAGGGGAATATGAGAAAGCAGCCAGAATGGGAAATTTGTGTGGAAAGAAGTAAGATAGGAAGGCTTGTGAGAAAAAGAACCCACATCTTCTATTTCTTTTGTATGAGAGAGCCTGATACGGTGTTAGTCATATAAAATCAGTGTGGTAAGAATATTTATTTCTAAATTTGTCCTGCATTAATTTGTAAATATGGCATTTTAAAATATTTTCTTCTTGCTTATACGAGTAAAACTTGGGAGGGGGAAAAAAGAAGTACAAAGAAAACCAAACCAAACAATCCTGGCTCACAATTAATTCCAAGATTATTTTTCATACTTTGATTTATTTCTTCAGAATTCTTTTCTTTGTGAATATGTATGTGTATATTTTATTTCCTTTTCATAAGGTAATGGAGTTCGCATTGTTAAGTATATTTCGTCCAGCATTACCTTTAATTCTTCATGTCTCACATTGAATTCATGATTGTAGCTCTCTCATAAGCCATCTCGTCTTCTCTTACCTCTCTTCAAATCCACATTACTTCTCACAATTAAAAAAAAAATCTACCTATCATTTTCTACTTTAATCATACAATATTTTCTAGTGACTCTCTGCTTGCAGCATCAAAGCAGTTTGACACTCTAAATTTTATTATGTGATGCCTGACTAATGTTGAGTTCCCGGACTTCTCTGCCGCACACCTTATTTTGGGATGAGAACTTTTCATTGTTTCTGTATGTCCTCCCAGTATTAAGATCGTCCACGTGTTAACACACAGCCTGATTGGCCTACACCTCCTAGGCTATTTCATCTTTCTTATTCCTTCGTGAAGCCACTCACTGCCTTTGGCAAGGATCCAGAAATGAACAGAGTCAGCAGCACAACTCAATACATCCTTAATGCAGAGCATTGTCCTCATGTAGTTGAGAGATTTTTTTAAGATGAATAAATGAAAGAAAGCTTAAGAGTAGGATTAGTGAAATATATAAAACAAAATGTATAGAAGCACAGGTAACCAACTACTGGTGAATGAAGAAACCAACAGATAACATCCCCAAACTGGTGAGTGGAGGTCTGAAGTAATTTCCACAGTTGGACTATTTAACAAAATACCTTACATTGTCATATCTTTGTCGTCTTATTTAAGAGATGCTGGTATAAATTCAAAAACGTGCTGCCGTGACACAGGACTTAACACCATTATTTAGATACTGGATTTTCGAAGGTGATCCAGAGAACTTTGGCAGTTTTAACTGATGTGAATTTATATTACTAGTTTTCACGTTAGCATATAAGCTAGAAAACCAGTTTATAGAATTGTTTTATTCAACAATTTAACTTTCCTTAAAACAGGAATTCTCATTTTTGCCTTTTTATTTTTCCTACAGGGGCGTGGTTGCTCTTCAGACACTACGAAAATTAGTTGAACTTACTCAGAAGCCAGTTCATCAACTCTTTGATTACATTTGTGGTGTAAGCACAGGTAATCGCTTTTGTATGGAAAAATGAGTGCATTAAGGAAAAGAATGTTAAGCACTTCTTTTTAAGGTCATGGTTATTTCCTGAAATGATGGATATTGGTTTCATATTTTGATAATGAATAATCCTCTGATTTGCTTAATGAACTTTTAAAAAATTTTTTTGGGAGTAAGTTAACATTCAGAAATAGATTTTAACATGCTTTTCTAATGTGTTTTAAATAAGCCACAGTGACAGTTGCAAATTATGAATTATTGCTTTATGGCATAGTCACCTGAAGAAAAGTGATGAAATGGAAGGAAGGTAGTTACTCAAGATTGTACTTGAACCAATGGGACATTAAAGCTGGATAAGATTTTACTTTGTTTTAAAAGATGTCCCTCTTTAAGGAAATTGCTTCTTACATCCTTTATCTGGTTGTTTGAAACCAAAATTTAAATTGATAAATATGAGAATCTGTGTTTTTTTAAAAGCTACTTTTTAATATTGCTAGTCGATGTGTACCTAAAATTGTAATTGTTTGTATAGAAGAAATTGGCATCTTAGAATACGATTGTTTCCCAGTAATATCCTTGTTTTCACTGACTCGCCATCAGATGCATTTTTGTTTTCTTTTCTGTTTGCTGTGTTTTTTTATTTCCTGCATCAGCTCTCTCGCCCATGTTTCAGCCCTGCCCCGCCCCAGCGCGTACGTGACGCCTCTCAGGGTGCCTGTAGGTATTGCTTCCCTCCCAGTAACACCCAAGCACGACTGGTTGCAGATCCTTGCTGTATGTTTTACCACCTGACCTAAGAATTTCTCACTTTACATTAGTTTATCTTCACAAGCTATGGGTTCTATTTTTTCTCATTCTTTTTAATTATAGTAGTAGTTCTAAATACCACTAGCTACAAAACCAAATGATTTCTCTACATTATCTGTGTCAAGTATGACTGATATTCCCAAAGGGCATGTTCACTGATGCTCCATTGTGAGAACTAAATGAGAGCTGCTGTAGGGAAGATTCAGAAGCATAAGGAGTCGGTGACTCCTGCAATGTTCCACTGACATTGATTCCTCAAGCTGATAGCCACCTTGGAGAAGGTTCTGTTGAAGGAAGTTGAACAGGTCTCTTTACAGAGGTACTTCTGAGGTCTTCCAGTACGTTAAAAATGCACTGTGCCTCCCAGGATAGGAAAATAACATGTACATCCCCAGTTGATATAACTGTGGAAACTTTTCTTAGAGACCTTTCCCAGGGCAAGCATTCTTGTTTTTTTCTTTGAACTATTACCCTGGCCATTTCTGTTAAATTTGGGAATGGTGCTAGCAATTTAAACATGCAGACGTATCTACAAGCTACCTTCCTGCTTTGGCACCATTGTTAGCAGTGGGAGCTCGAAAGAGAATTTTAAATTAAGACATTCATCCATTGAGTAGAATATCAGTTTATGTAATATGCACGTTTCTGTATTTATCACAATACATCTTTTCCACTGTGTCTTCTTGCTTATGTTAACCTCCACTTGTAATCTAGTGCTTATAATTTTCCTTTCCTTTTTCCATTTTGTGTATTCTAATATAGAAATTTTGTTTGCACTCATAGTTTTTATAAAGTTAATAAATTTATATTTAGCTTAAGGATAATGTCCTTACCAGTTCAGTAAAATTCATTTTATAACATCTGTTCATCTTTATAGTAGCTCTTCTTCACAGGAAACTTAATTTTTTTTTGGCAAGTTATTCCTTGTGGTAACTAAAAATTTTCTGCAAATTGAAAAGTAACAATTTCTTTTATATAGTTATGCCATGCATTGTATTTTAAAACAAGCTGACTTATCGCTTACTAGAATAAGACTAAGATTGTGGTGGTGGTTTCATAGGTGTATACATCTGTCAAAATTCATCAAATTGTACGTCTGCAATATTTGTAGTTTACTGTACAGGTATTATACCACACTAAAGGTGTTAGAAAAAAAGACTAAAAATGGTTAAACACATAGAATATTTAAAATGCATCATGCTTAGTGATTTCCTGTTTTTTTCCATTGTTTGCATTCTCAGTGTAAGCAGTGATGCTGTACAGGTCTCTGCTCCCCCCACCCCCACCTGCATCCCCCAAAGTTTCTTCTGCCCTTTTTCTCCTTGGTTCAGGGTTAGGCCAGTTAGGTACACTAGGTGGCAGTGGGTCCTACCACTTAGTTGCAGCTAGGATATGCGATCAGCTATTTAAAAAGACATCCCAGAGACCTAATTTCTTTATTTATTACATTGGTTCCCAGGACCAACCTGAAGGAGTAATTATTTTAATGAATTGGTAAGTTGTCCAATATACTGTATTCTATGACTAAAACTAAGGAATATCTTAAGGTTAGAAAGAACATTATCTACCACAGTATCTTTTATTTTTAAATTGAAATATAGTTGATTTACAATGTTGTGTTCCTGGTGTATGCAATATCTTAATTATATATTATTTAATTTAATGTAGAACAGCACATTTTTATATATTGATCATCATGATTATTGGTTAACATTGATTTAATCTTTTTTGAGGCCTGGTAAAGCCCTTCACAGGTGGCTCTTCCAGGGTTATAAGAACCTGTAAATTTATTTGTTGTTATTATCCTTATTTTACAGATGAAAAAAGTTTGGGCTCCGAGAGGTATAGTAGTCTTTCCCAGGTGACACAAAGTATCAAAAATAGAATTTTAACTGGGTCTGTGAGTCAGGAGATCTTATACGTACTGTAATGTCAGTGCTGATAAAAACTGAGCGTTCTTTCTTTCAGGTGCTATATTAGCATTCATGTTGGGATTGTTCCATATGCCTCTGGATGAATGTGAGGAGCTTTATCGAAAGTTAGGATCAGATGTGTTTTCACAAAATGTCATTGTTGGAACAGTCAAAATGAGTTGGAGCCATGCATTTTATGACAGTCAAGCATGGGAAAACATTCTTAAGTAAGTTATAATTGTGCTTTTTAAAATTGTCTTGACTGTATAGGTAATACGTACACTCATGATTTGGAAAATGTAAAGAAGAATAAATACTACGTGAGAGACAACCCATTACTGTTTTGGTGAATCGTATTCTACTCACCGTTTTCTCAGGTTCACGTGTGTGAACTTTGCGAGTGAAAATTGCGATTGCCTTTTTAAAACTTGAGACCGTACTGTACATAGGACATGCTGGCATCCTGTTGTGTTACTTAAATACAGTTGTCTCTCAGCATCCGCGGGAGGTCAGTTCCAGGACCTGCAAGGATACCAACATCCCCAGGTGCTCAGGTGCCTTATTTAAAATGGCACAGTGGTATTAGTCTTTCTCGAGTCATTAACAGATATTCTTCTAAAAGATTTAATAATTTTTAAACATTTTCGCAAAATATAACAAAGCCATTATACTCACTTTCTAAAAATGTTAAGCATAAAGTAGAGACTTAAAATCACCCACAGTCTTATTCAGAGCTGTAGACCTTGCAGTGTGTTTTCTTCTGGTTTTCTTCCTAGGCTCTGTTCATTTTCATACATGTTTTATGTGGTGAAAATTATGTTGTTATAATTTTCTGTCCTTTCTGCTTTTTTCAGCTTTATTAAAATCCCTTGACAAATTTTTTTATAGACTGCACTGCATTCCCCCATGTGATGTTGCCATATTTTCTTAACCATTTATATTTAGGACATTTATGTTGTTTCTAGTTTTTTGTGATTATGAACACTGCTATGGTAGGAAAATTTACGTTTCTGCCCATACTTCAGAATATATCAGTAAGTCAGTTTGTAGGAAGCATACTTACTGGGTCAATGTTGATGTCTTTTAAAAATAATTATTATATAGGAAATAGAGAATATGTAAAGAAAAACTATGAGAATAACTTACAGTCCTACTAAGAATGAAAGAATTTCTTAGAGATAAAGAAGTGTATGAGTGTGTGAGGTTGTGAGTGTGCATGTGTTTTCATCCCCTTCACAAAACTGGGATGATAACGCACTTGTAGATTTGTATCTCAGCATTTTGTCATGATTGGTTTCCTGTGTCCTTAATTTCTTCCCCCCTGATTCTGGAAAGGAGCGTGGTTTTGTCCATCTTTACCTGCCCAGCATTAAATGTTTTTGAGACATATTTTAATGGTTGTTTACTGTTTTATGGATGTATTACTTTTTGTTTAACAAAGTCCCTAATGAAAAAGACGATATTTCAGATATTTTTATAGTTCAAAATCAAGTTTAGGTGAACATTCTACTTCTCTACTTAAATCTCTGGTTATATTTTTAAGGTAAATTTCTTGTGTGAAATTTTGGATCAGAGAATGTACATGTTTCAAGAATCATAAGATAGATGGGTGTATATGTCTGAATTGTTCTTCAGAACAGTTGTCCCAGCTTACCCACCGGCATCAGTTTGTCTTTCTAGTTTATGAAATATTTATGAACACCAAACATTTTAATTTTTAAAACTTAGTTTGAGAGATTTTTAAACTGGTCTTTCCAGTTTGCATCAGTTTTTTGATTATTGATGAGTTTCAACATTTTTGTTTTTTTTTTAATTTTATTTCTTTTTTGTGTGTGAATTTCAAGAGCATAATATTTGCTCATTTTCTGATAAAGACATCACTCACTATGTTATAAATATATTTACCAATTGTTAATTTGAAAACATGCTTTTTAATTAACAGTTCTTTTAATGTGGAGGAGTTTAAGATCTTCATTTAGTCAGATCTTTTCCTTGAATTTTTAGCTTTACTTTGAGTCTTTTCTACCTTGAAATCAGGTAAATCTTTATATTATTTTGTAGTCCTAAGGTTTAGTTAAGTTTATTTTTAATTCTTAGGTCATCTGATGTTTATTCTGATGTATATTGTAAGGAGGGGTCAAACTTAATTTTTTTCTCAAATATTAATTCAAATGTTCCTGTGTCTTTTACCAAGTACTTTTTCATTTTTTTCCCACCAATCTGAAGCACCCCCTTTATTATGTTTTAAATTCTCATCAGCATTACTGAGTCCAAGTTTTTTGTTTTTCTCTATTGATTTTTAAAATTGTTGTCCAGATTCATTAGGCTTAGTTATTAAACCTTTGTGTAATGTTTCTATATTGACATAGCAAGTCTTTTCTTCTTCTTTTTCACAATTCTGTTCACTGTTTTCATTTAATCTCCAAATCCTCAGTTGCTTTTATCACATTAAAAAAAAAAACCCAGTGATATTCTGATTAAAATTACATGAAATGTAGCAGTTATCTTGTGGAATATTGACATCTTTCCAGCTGAGCAGTCCTCCCATCCACTGATGTTGTGTGTGGCTTGTTTTCGGGTTCTACTTCTATGTCTGTTGGAAAAAAATAATTCATATCAATTCTCATAAAATCATAAAATCATAATACTGGTAAGATTTTTTTTTAATGAAGATTTGAAAATTTACTCTAAAACCAGTCTCTGCTATAAAATGTTTTCTCCTTTTGTTACTCATTACAGTATCTTCATGGATTTGCATGTTGCTGTTTCACTGTCGATCTTTCAAAGGCGTCTTTATTTTATTCACAACATTGATAAACCTTCTAAGTGTGTTTAGTTTTGTTTTTTTTTTCTTTCCCTAATTTTCTTTACAGCGTTTGCTGCACAACAAACCCTGCAAAACGTAGTGGTTTAAAACAACTGTGATCTAGTCTCATGATTCCGTGGTCAGGGCGTCTCTTCTTTTCTTGTTTAAACTCATTCATGGCTGCTGACAGCCAGCCGGCAGCTCAGCCGAGGTGGCCGGGACAGCTGGTATCTCTCCATGTGGTCACTCTCGTCCTGGACTTCCTCCCATCGTGGTGGTCTCAGAGCTCCAGTAGGGCAAGCCCCAGTGCATGAGGGCTTATTGAGCTTCAGTTTAATGGCATGTTTGCTGGGGTCGCCATTAACCAGAGCCACTCAAACCAGGGTCTGTGTGGGAAGGGGCTGTATCCAAGGATGTGGAACCAGCGAGTGTGATTCAGTGTGGACCTTACTGTTTTAATCTGGCACACTTACTCCCTGGCTTTTTTTGTCATTTTTTTCTCCCATTGTTTGTTGAGAAAATTTTATGTTTTCTGTGATAATGATTTTGTATTATTTTGGGGACATTGTTTTTAATTATAGCATCAGTAGAATCTAGGAATATTGAGATTTTTTTTTTATTTTGACATCTCTCTAAAATAAGCAATGAATGTTTCTGATTTTCCCTTCAAATTTATATCCATAACAGTTCACTAAAACATTTTAGCTCTGTTTATAAAATCAAGGTTTAAACAAAAAATAAATGTGAACTTTGCTTGAAGTGTGAAAGCAGGTACACTGTATTTATAAAAGATTGTAAAGGATAGATCACTACCTAATGTAGATACTACCCTTATGTGAAATTCACTAGCATTCTAGTTGAAAAACATGAATATTGCTTGAAAAAATGTCATTAGTTATTTTTTTTCTTTTCTTTTCTTTTTTTTTTACTGAGGCAGGTTAATTAAAAAAACCATAGTCTTTACATTCAATACCGGGGGGAAAATACGTAATTTTTAAGTCTGGATAAAATCTGCACTGAAATAAAATTTCCTTGTAATGGAATTGTGAAAATTGCTGCCCAAGGACAATTTCTGTAATGTTGCA